TCCGAGATATTTTAACTCCTGACTCATTGTCTGTGCACATTGCTGGCTGCTGTCCAGAGGGGTGTCAAGACTGTTTCCCACGGTCTAGACACACTTTACATAGTTGGATAGCCCTATTGAATAGCTTCCAGAATATACAATTTGAGAGTGAATTGACCAATAAATTATCGAGAAAAATGCAAAATACTTTTTTGGACGCGAGTCTGCAAATACTTGTGGCTGTCCAAACTCACTGTCTGTGCACAATGCTGGCCACTGTCCAGAGGGGTGTCAGGGCTGTTTCCCATGGTGTCAACACACTTTACACCAATGGATAGCCCATTTGAATAGCTTCCAGAATATACAATTTGAGACTAAATTGACCAGTAAATTATCGAGAAAAATGCAAAATACTTTTTTGGACACGAGTCTTTTGGGGTAACTCAATGTCTGTACTCATGCTGACCACTGTGTAAAGGGGTGTCAGGACTGTTTCCCACAGTGTCAACACACTTTACATTGATGAATAGCCCATTTGAATAGCTTCCAAATTTATTGTATGATCGGAATTCAGGTAAATACATGTTAAAATACAAAGAAATCTTATGATGTTATTATCCAGGATCATCCAGGATCATCCAGGATTTTCATCCGGCGGATCCGGATTGGCCATTGGGAGGTTGTCCCAATCTGGGATTTCTGATCCTAATCCGATCCTATCCAATCCACCCGGACCCCTAGAGGTATCGGAACCCCCCCTGACTACGATACCTAGTTACATTGATCCCGTGATGAGTAATAGGTGTTTTTTGGATGGAAAATCAAGTTGATAGTTTGCCTCCGCTCTTGCATGGCTGTGCATTCATGCACTTTGCCATCTGACTTGCCCACCACTCTCCTCACAACTGCCTTTCGATGTTTGGTTTTGGATTTATGGATATGACATTGTGTCTTTGCTCTTTGCATTACCACCTTTCAGAATACTCTTCCCCTACTGTCTTCAGTACATTCTTCACAACCATATTTTCCATGCAGAAGTCATACTTACGGTGGGGGAGTGAATTATATTGTCATTGTCATAACGGGAAAAGAGGACCTTAGGTTACGGAGGACCCTCATCAGCAAAAGTCCGTTATGCTCCGGAGCATCAAGAGTGGCTGGAGCATGTGGGAGACAAAACAGCAGATTGGGCACTCCTGGAGCCAATAGTGTTCTCCTGGGAGGGGTTCAGGAGCAGCTGGGAGTGGTGAGGAGTATGTAATGTGCCAGGAGCAGTGGGAGGAAAATTTTGGTCTCTAAAAAGTTGAAAAAAAAAATTTCGGGAAAAATCAAAAAAAAAAATCAGGAACTATAGTGCCTTTAAAGTGCTTTCAGGACATATATCTCAGTTTAATCCCATTTCACGTGACTAATCAGGTGGATCCGCGCGCGCCTCAGAGGAGGCCATCTTGTTCTGCACTGTCGCAGTGTGGATGGAACAAGACGGACGAAACCCTCCTCCGGGCCCAAACTTGGTCTCAGACCAGCTGCGGGAAGAGACAAGTTGCATCCGGGAGCGAGATAAATAGCGCACCTTATCCACTCCCCACCTGCCTGCGCAATCGTACTACAACGTCTAACTGGTAAGTTAACGGTAGTGCGATGAGGCTTCTAACCGTGTGTGCTGGCCCCGCTCCTCAGGCCTGCACACGGTTATCCCTGCTCTTGCTATCCACTAAACGCGCGCTTACTCTTACTTTCATAGTTCTTAACTGAATCTCCACGCTTCCCACCTCCTTCCCCATCGCCTCCGTTGCGTTACATCATTTTTTCACTTGCTACCCTCTCCTGCATTTACTATTAATGTATTTAATTGACGTACGGCTCGCATCGCTGGCGCACAATCATACACACAATCATACACATTGCAGGTCCATACGGACCGTGTCCACTAACTCATGGACCGCTCACGGAACCGAACTGATTAGATTATTTGCAAAATTGAGGAAGAAATGATGGAGAAAAATGGAAAATACTTTCGGAGACCCAAGAAATAATGAGAACTGAATTGATGGGAAAGTCTGAAAATTGAATAGGAAAGTGAGGGGAAGCCTTGTAAGCATTGTTATTTTCTGCTGTTCTGATTTTTGCTGATTGTTCTTGGTCTCACTCCCAGCTGCTCCTGGACCCTCCCAGGAGCTTTCAGGAGCTTCTAGGAGTATTGAGGAGCAGCTGGGAATGAGACCAAGAAGAATTGGGAAAAATCAGAACAGCAGAAAATAACAATGCTACAAGGCTTCCCCTCACTTTCCTATTCAATTTTCAGACTTTCCCATCAATTCAGTTCTTGGGTCTCCAAAAGTATTTTCCATTAGCTGCTCCTGGACCCTCCCAGGAGCTTCCAGGAGTATCCAGGAGTATCCAGTAGCAGCTGGGAGTGAGACCAAGAACAATCAGGAAAAATTAGAACAGCAGAAAATAATAATGCTACAAGGCTTCCCCTCACTTTCCTATTCAATTCTCAGACTTTCCCATCAATTCAGTTCTCATTATTTCTTGGGTCTCCGAAAGTATTTTCCATTTTTCTCCATCATTTCTTCCTCAATTTTGCAAATAATTATATATCCTGAAAGCACTTCAAAGGCACTACAGTTCCTGAATTTTTTTGATTTTTTCCCTAATTATTTTTTTCAACTTTTTAGAAGTCCCTATTTTTCAAATTTTCCTCATTTCCCTCTATATCCCCCCTCATTCCCCACCCTTCATTCCCCCCCTCATTCCCCCCCCCCTCATTCTCCCCCCCTCATTCTCCCCCTCATTCTCCCCCTCATTCTCCCCTCATTCTCCCCCTCATTCTCCCCTCATTCTCCCCCTCATTTCCCCTCATTTCCCCCCCTCATTCTCCCCCATTTCCCCCTCCCCCATATTCTGCCAGCCGGAAAGTGATTAAGTTGCCAGATTAATCATATATCAGGCCATAAATTTTGATTGTGTATTGGTGAGTCTCAGTGTCCTTGATATATAGTATAGTGTTTGATCTAAATGTTAAGCAGTGTCTTGTTGTGTTAGTCTTGTGGTAGGAGGTATTCATGGGGGATCTTCCCTCTTTTTTTCCTTTTCATTTTCAAATGCTCCAGGAGCTCCCAGAAGCTTCTCACCCCTATACACTTTGAAGCATTTAAATTGTATTTACTGGATATGTTTGTGCACAAAGCAATGCTCCAGGCCCTCCTGGGAGTGCCCTGGAGTACCTAGCCAACTCCGGAGGAAATGGGCTGTTCCTGGACCAGCCAATCTCCTCCTGATTCTTCCAGTGCTCTCGATACTCTGGAGCACTCAGGAGCATAACAATTTTTTGCTGATGCTGTGCACAGCGTGGGGCCTAAATTTGCAGGACCCGCTATGGAGTAGCGGGAATAGTTTGCCTCCACTCTTGCGTGGTTGTGCCTTCATACTGTTGGAAAACAGCGCGCTAGCGCGGCCGTGCGAGTTTTCGTACAGCCACATTCCCACGGCCGAGCGAGGAACTCGCCCGGCCAGCCACATTTATTTATTCATTCTTTTGTATTCATTTCGGACTATCCCGCTCCCAAACTACATGGGAATTACCGCTCTTTGAATCCTTTTTCCCTCAGTTCTCTTTCGCATTATTTGCTTGAGACTGAGGTTAGCAACAATCATTCCTTTATTTCAACCTATACTTATATACTGTATATTACCTCTAGTTGCCCCGCTTCGCTAGCAATCTCATATTACTTTACATACACTCTGCCGTCTGACTTCTTCGAAACTCTCTCACAACGACGCACCATGCCAGAATCGCACATATCCACAAGGTGTCTGATACCATTGAGGGATCCATTTGATGATCCTTGGCTGGATGCACTATCAAACGGTGCGTGGAAATCGTGCATGATTGCCGACTCTGTTGCAATTCACTAATAGTTCAGGGGAGCAATGGCCGATATACGAATTCGACGAATCACCCTGTATAATGAGTTTCGGAACAGCCATGCGATTCCATTCTTTATTTCACTCTACATTCTCAAAGCTATGGTACAAGAATAGTCGCGCGGAGCCATGTTACAGGAAGTTCAGGTGGGGGGCAGCAGTCTTATACAGCAAGTAAATCGCAGAACGCGTTAATTTGAAAGGGTCTGTTTGCATAAAATCCGGCAACACAATTAGCTTGAAAGCGGCTCTTGTCGACGGTTTTTTTTGGTTGTGCTCGTGTTGCTGGGTTTGAGATCGAGTGGGTACACAATGGCTTTGTCGTGTTGGAAGTAAGTGGGCGAGATCCCAAATATTATTTGGCTCGAATATGTTCATGGCAAAAGTATCCTGTGAAGGGAATCAGGCTGGTAGTAGAGGAGTCCTTGATTCCTTCAAAAGTCCATCCATATGATTCAGTCAAAGGAACAGTCCAATGCTGTGGACGATCGCGAATAGAGTTGGGAGGAGCTTAGAGAAGATTTAGGGGGCGCAACGAGCATGCAAGACATTGGAACACCCCCACCAACTTTGCATTTCGATCAAGTTAGAAAGTTTTGGTTGACATCAAATAGAAGGACTGGGTGAACAACCTCTCCGATTCAACAAACATTCGAGGTATTCATGGAGTCAAGAAAATTATTCCGTAGAAGATGGATGCAGCTCACACCTATCGCACCCACCACAATCTATCGAATATGTAGTTTTTTCTTAAGTTTTCGTGAGCAGACATTGGAACTCCGTTGAGAGGCACATTTAAATGCGTATGTGACATTGCCAAGGCGTACGGCGGATGCTAAAGTAGTGGAAAGGAAAGGCACAGGGACCCAATGCGTGCAGCAGATGCAAGAGAGAGGAGAGAAGGTGGCAAGAGGCCGAAGCGTACAGCGGACGCAAGAAAAAAGGAATACTGCAAGTCAACGTACCGAATATGGCCTAGGAATTGAAAGACTATTAGACCTGCAAAACTGACCATACACAGATGATCAGTATGTGAAGAGCCTTCGGCCGGTATGGCGTACAAGAGGATATATGTACAGATTTCCTGAAGCATGCAGCGGACGCGAGGGGGAGAAGGACTAAATCCCAACTTCGTGGTGATCACGAGCACTTGCCCAAGGACTATCCCACTAGTGTGTGGCTGCGCCCAAAAAATAGTATCGAAAAATAATAAGGAAAGGCAGGCATAGAGTTTTGGTAGCCAAAGCGGGGATATCCACAGTGAAATAGGCCATTTAGGCTTCATCTGAAGCGCAAAAAAAATGCTGGACGATATCGCTCAACTTCGAAGACAGTCAGCGGATGTTCAGAGTCGTGATTATTGTTACAGTGCTTCGCTTACATTACTGGACACCTCAAAGTCGTCAAATCTCTTTTCGACACTGATGGAAACTGCCACTTCAAATTGCGTGACGTTCGACAACTCTTGAAAGAAGCGCAGGATGAGATTGAAGTCCTGAGCCGAGATAATAATAATAGCACGTCAAAACGAAAATGTTACACATTAATAACCTGCATCGATAACTTCCTCGAAGAAACTGAGGTGTTGAAGATGGTTCGAGATAGGTTGAAAACTGCAACTAGGGGGCTCGTGGAGCAGAAGGAATGCACCAATCAGCTCGAGATTCTACTGGAGTTGGCCATTGAATCTCTGGAACTGAAATCCCAATTCGTGCTCCGCTATCCCAGGCGCAGACTTTTCCCTGGCCAAATCAGCCAATGATGACCTAGTAGCCTTGCGGACGCGGGTTGGTACTCTGGAGCACCAACTGGACGATACTGAGGGCATGTGAGTGCCGCTGTGCAATGATGAGCATGTCATGGTACTATGCTAAGCTAGCTCTCTGTTAGGGCAGACGACTTGAAGATCAGGCTCGAAAATAAAGAGAAATAAGAATTGGAAAAGGTGCTCGCTCGGGCGTCAGAACTCCAGCAGCAGTACGCTTGAGTCTCCCGAGTTCCCGTTTTGTCCTTCACCCTTTCAGTTTGACTGCGACGAAGAGCCAACTTCAAAGCCACTCGCAATCATGCGACGAAGTCAGCGTCCAACTCGATGCCTCGCGCGAATCCGAGTCAAGTCTGAAGCACAAGATTCAGTTGTTAACTGAATATGAGGCCGAGGTCATGCAGCTTCGAATCACCAAGGCTGAAAATGCTTGCATTCCTTCTCTTCGAGTTCGAATCGAAGAGCTTCTTGGTTCCAAGACATCGTTCAAGACTGAATTAGAGCTATTTACACAGATCTTGGTCGTCTTCGGGGAGTCGAACTGCAATTTGCTCCAGCAAATGGACAGATAGCCAACCTCGATGACCTGGTGAAGGCGCTCCAGACTAGTTTATTATTGGGACAGGAGAAGGCGAAACAGTGCACTACGTTGAAGGAAAGTGAAGCCGAAAAGTTAGTGGCTCAGGTTGAGAGCACCACCATTGCAAATCAGGAGAGGTCCGCGATCTTTTCGTACAATCTTGCATCCCTCTACCGTATGACAAGAATTCAGGTTCCTGTCAAAATCCGCATCGATCCCGAGGGTGATACTCAATGGAGCATTGCAGTTATTGGAACAAGAGATCCAGCAGCAAGCGGCTGAACTGGCATGCAAAGAAAAAGAGTATGTTGTTCGTAACTCGATTTGTCTCCGATATCGTTCAACTAAACAGGTGTACCAAAACACCATCTTGCAGTCGAAGACGGAAGTCGACCGCAAAGAAGAGATCATAGCAAGTTTCAGTCATGAGATTGACAAAGTGAGGCTTGCCTCTCGTCTATCCTTTCTCATCGTAGGCGGCCAAAGCAATGTTAAAGGTCGAAAGCGAACTAGCCTCTGTCCAATCCAAACCAGCTGATGCTGAGAAATTGTCGGCTGTCACTGCTGCAAAGTTGGATTCCGCTGATTTGACGATCAGCGATCTACGAGAGCAACATACTGGTCTCAAGGCTCAGAATGCTTCACTGGCATCAGAACTGACGTCCGAAACAAACTCGGCTCTTCGCTCAATAGCCGTTGCAAAAGATGAGATTAAAGAGAAGCTGGTGGAACGCAACTCAGCGCACCGATATCGCTCGATTGACAAGTCAGCTAGAAGAGTCACACAGTAATATGGAAGAATACCAAGCGACGGCGCATTTGATTCCAGATCTTCAGAGATGCATATCAGATTCTCAGCACCAACTCGACACATTTGCGTCCCGATATCGGGCTGGAAAGGAATTGGTTGATGTTTTGTTGACACTTTGGTTCCAGTGACTGATGTCCATTAGTACAAAAGCGAAGCAGAGCGTGCTGTTGTGAAGGACGTGATGGAGACCTGTCAGCGTTCCCTGAAGCAACAGCTAGTCGCCAAATGGAACGACATTTGCCGTGTGAGTTTCCTTGGCCTTGGGCCTATGCTAACAGGTTAATATCATGCATTGTACAGTATGGCAGCTGCCGGACAGGATGATTTGAAATACCCTCCCCAAAAATCTACGTTATATACACTCATGTGAATATCCCAAGGAGGGTCCGCCATGATGGCATGAAAATTTCCGAGGACGGATGCATCGAATTTCCGCAAATCACAGTTAATCCACTGGGGAGGAAGCTTTGAGGGACTTAGCGAGTGTAAGGAAGGCCCGTTCGCTCACTGAAGACTGAGATAGTCGTTCCCAATGTCCAACATCCTTTTTCTGGGTGGCTTGACGACTTGAGCTTGGGCCTTGGCGTCTGCTGCTTCGTCATAGTCGACTTCCAAGTGAAGGCAACGACACGGAGCCCTTTTCCGCCTGCGCCAAGACCCGATGGCAAAGCCGCGTTCGATGTTCGGGCGATGGCAGGAAGCGTGTGAATTGAAGGTGACAGTTCCGAGTAACAAGTATTCAAATATGAACAGTGACCCAGCGAGGGACGAATAAGGTGTTTAAAGTGAACCTTTTGCCAACAAAATTAAGGTGTTTGTGACGCGATCCATAGCCATTGTAGGCTGGCCTTTCGCAGTAAGGGCTCCTCGACGACGACGATGCTTCCCCATAATCCAAACGAGCCTTTATATTTGGCATGTACTCGCAGGTTGGTTCGAATGCGTCGGAGGTTGGCATGGCTGAAAAGCGCAATTTGTGACGAATACTGTTGTGTTTGTAGAACACCCAAAACATACACGCTCAGCAAGCGATTTCCCCTAAATTAGAGAGCAAAAAGAATCCTATCGATTAAAAAAATGGGTTCGAGATAAACATGATAACTACTCACCACCCAAATTTCATCCTGTTCCACCCAGCCATTAAAAGTCGGGGGACAGTGCTAATCCTACATTGAACATCGTGACAAATGCAACCTAACTAAAAAAAAAAAAGGGGGGGGGGGGTTCGAGACACATGTGATGGCTAATTTTACTCATTTCTTCCCATGGGGGGACAGTGTCAAACCTACATTGGGCACTGTGATGAGCACACGACCCGATTTAAAAAGGCCCGAGATAGGCGCGATAGCTTACTTACTGCCGAATTTCATCCCATTTCACTCAGTTGTGTTGAGAAAAGTGGGGGGACGGCGCTGAGCACCATGATGAACACACACCTAATTAGATAACCAAAAAAGGGTTTTCGATATATGTGAGAACCCATTCCACCCCGTCGTTGGACATACTAATGGAGGCTGGTAACCTGCCTAGGGGGACATGTCAAACCTATATTTATAAAAAATGAGAGCCATGGTTATCGGTTAGAGAGATGTCTGAAGGGTTAAAGTACGAACCTTTCCCAAAAAACCGCAACCATTCAACCCATCCGGTTGCGAAGATATGGAGTGTTTTTGGTTAGGCTTGGTTCCAGGCAGCGCGCTCGCGACACATCCTTGTCATGAATATTCCCCAGACACTACCATTGAGGTGAAACGGGGACTATTAGAATAAGGACTATGTCGTGTAAGTCTCAGACTCTGATAAGATACATGAGTTAAAATATATAAAGCGGGAGGTGCTTATGATTCCCAAAACCGATAGACTAGGTTCCACGAACTGCAGCACCTGGCCCTTGGGTTTTATCGAGAATAGGGGGAAGGGGGTTGGTCGCTCGATGGAGAGGTGCCATTAGAGGCACTAGGGGGGTCCGGGAAGTCCCAAGGGCGTGGAACCAGTGCTATATGCAACACCCATGTTGCAGCGCAGACGACCCCCTTGCGATCCTAAGATGGGGAGGGGGTGTAATGAAATGGCTGTCAGGCGTCAAAAATATACCGCAAAACGGCACGCTTTGGGCTGAGTGAAACCCCATTCTGAGTCGTGAAGAACTTGATGAACGGTAAAATCTCTTGGACACCTATGGCGAAAGCGAGACGCGAGGATGTAGATGATGACGTTTGCAATAGATTCGGCGCTTGTGAAAAGGAAAGTTGGTCAGTTACTCTGGAACGTTAACATCACGCCGGCGCCCATTAAACGCAACTGATAAATATTGAATCGCAGGTTCTGGTAGCACCAGTTTATATCCCCAGCTGGATTGGGACCCGAAGTCACGCAGAAAAAAATAATCTGCAAAAGATCGATGTACCAATCTGTCCAAACGAAGTTTGATGAGCGAGGTGATAACTATCGCGGAACTTTTGGGTGAGGGAAGTCACAAGTGAATACCGACAACCTGTCAGTTGGAGGATAGATTCCTTTATGATTGGGCAATAATCCTTGGAAGGCCACATCTCCCGGAGACTCCGACGGTCCACCCAAGCCCATCGCCAGGAGTTGAGCCGATACGTCATTCATACCTCCCAATATCGTTTGAGGGGATGGTATAGCTCCCATCAGCGTCACGTCAAGGCCCACATTGTTGAATAGTATAGATTGTGGAGCAATTATATGGAGTTCTACATATTTTTTCACGGAAGCGCGGAGTCCGAAACCGGGAATTGCTATCCAAGACAATGGGACAATGGCGATGCTGCCACGCGAGAGTGGATTGACGATACGATTGAGCGAAGATAGTATAGAACCTGAGCTCGGTGGAGGGGATGACGAATTGATGGCCGTCCTGTCATCTGAGGGTTTCCACAATGAGAATATCTTATCATTCGCATCTTCATCATTGTACTCAAGGCAAACGGAATGCACAGTTGTCGAGGCAATCGCTGCAGGCTGATGATTAGGTGGTTTAGAAACAAGATTGATCGAAGTGGAGAAAGGAGTCGTAGTGGCCTCAGTTGTTTTTGTAGGCTTAGGAGTGCTACGGTGATGAACGGTGGTGGAAGTGATTTCAGACTAGCAATAACAGTGTTGGCGGCTGTCTTGTCGAGTAATTCTCTGTTTAGCGCCGCCCAAGCCTTCGACAAATTTGACTGCTTGGGTTTTGGACGGTATAAATAGTGCCATACTTTTCCATTTCTGGAAGAATCCTCGGACGAGGACGAATGGATCGGGAGTTTGGAGCCTCTTTGATCGAAAGAGCAGTGGTGTGGACTTCGGGCCGGGAGGGACGGGTGCAGCCTCTACATGACATGAGCTTATTAAAAAGAAGCCGGAGAGGATCCGTGGCGGTCTGCGAGACGAGGAAGAGGTATGTTGACATTCGGAGAGAGATCGACTGAAAATGCAAGGAAAATATGAGCAATTCAGGTTGGACCACACGAGTGAATATAAAGATTGAAATCCCAGAGGAACCTTCGGCCTCCCGTTTCCTCTCAATCATCACCCTCTGGCATTGCAGGCATGAGAACCCGATGTTAGCTACGGACTCTTTGTCGTTTTGAATGGGCAGCATGGCATAATTCTGACTTTATATTCTTGACAGCGCTGTGCAGCCGTGATGGTTCGATGCATTTGAGCGGCATGTCAGTGACTGAGCATGCTGTTAGAAACGTCCGCACCTGATGGGGAACTCATCAGGTTTGCTGGGGGCATTCGCTGGAATAGTGCTATCGTGCATTAACGTTGACCATTCAAGTATTAGGAGGGACAACTGCATATGATTCGGGACTCGAGGGAAGGAGTGACAGGCTCTGGGGTGGCAGCATTTGGTGGGGACGGTCATATTCCATTGCTGCTGGGACGCACTTAAATGGTTCTGATGGACGTCAGATTGGCGTCAAGCTGCCAAACTCCGGTCTGAAGTCAAAGCCAAGTGAGAGGCCGCTGATGTGAAGCAAGTGGGCAAGATAAAATGGTTCTGAGGCGACGCCAGATGAGTGAATGAAGTGGCTAACACAGCATCGTAACTTAGGTTGACATACATGTGCAGAGAGGCAGAATATGGATGAATACACTGAGGAGCTGTCAGAATCATCGCGCCGAAAACCCAGCGAACGAGGAGCACCGAAATCGGAATGAGTGAGCGAGAAAGGCAAGGGGACCCGTGTGCAGTCAGAATCGTTGTGGCAATGAACGAATCACGAAACGCATGTGTGCATAAGCATGCACAACCCCCACGCAACTTGAGTTGAAAGGGAAGTAGACGGTATGGCAAGACCATGGCAGTTGCAAGAGTCGTTGAGAGGAAAGCGGACACGCTTTGGAATGAACCAGTGATAAAGCCAGGCGTAAAAGCGTGGGAGAAAGCGCGAGAATCTGGGGCGGACCAATGGGATCGCTTCGATCACAACTACTCTGCTCGAGTGAACTCGGTACACCAGCAGCCTCTAAGTTGCTATTTCTAGTTTGCAATCCCAAAGTCCCCACACCCACACTGTCAATGAGTCAGTCCCAGAGATTCCTTCGAGCAAGCAGAGGAGAGGGCGGCTCCTATGCTCCACCGGTCCTCGATCCCCGATAGCAGGTTGAGGCCGCTCGTGAGTATCTTTTGGATAAGTCCTTTGTGCATCATACACCGGGGGAACGCAAAGTGGCAGGACAGCGAGTCAATGTGGCTAAAATGGAAATGGGTGTGCAGGGGACAAAACCCAAGGCCAGTGAGGCACATGTCGCTCACATCGTCAGTAAGTCACTATCGGAGGACATCGATTGCCAGCCAGAATCGGGAAAGGCAAAGGTCGGTTTTTTCCGTGCCTCATGTCTGTATCTCCTTATGTTTAATTCAGCTCGAGTGGGCAAAGAAGGCAGCGGCATTGATCGAGCGGTTTGGAGGTTTTTCCTCCATCTAGATCATCGTCTGAACAGTCCATTGAATGCGTTCACAGCATCGGATACACCGCACAAGCAGTTCGACAGCCTCGACCTGTGGTTAGTGCCAGCTCTAGTACGTTTCTTTGCCACTTTTTTGCCCTTATTTCTTGGATTGACTTGTTGTTATCTAGGATGATGAGGACGTAATATGCTAAACGAATTTGGGATTCGACCAATTGCCAATTTCAAAGAGGCTAAGACCGAAGATGGTCAGGTCATCCACCCTCCTGACCCACGTCTTATTGCCCTGCATGCAACCTGTGCATGGGTTCTTCATTCATCTGGTGCCATAGACCATGTGTGGGGGCTTCTCTTTCGAGAACCTGAATTGATTTCGCTCATGACTGAGCCAAATTGCAGTCGAGCTGTCTGAAGCTCTGGAGATGTTGCGGTACATTCGGCACATTCAGCACATTTCCTTGGTGGCCTAATGATTTTCACTTATTTCTCATTCCGCCTAACATTATTCTCTCCCTTTACTTCAATGTTGTGTGTGTTTCCATGCCTCTTTACTTCCATGCCAAATAGAAACAAACCAACGGAAGTTGTATCGGCATACCGACGGTGACTTAAGTAATAGCTGTGCCTACCGTTGGAATGAGAAACTTATCCAAAGTTGAAAGGATTGGGAAGGGGAACCTTTTACGTTTTACAGACCAAATGCGAGTCGCTCTCGATTTGCCGAGGTCTATCCGAAACTACTAATCACGGACAGCAAAGTGTAGCGGGAACGGCTGAGGAAGTAGAAATTAAGTATACATTGAGTACATAATGCAGAAGGAGAGTGAGCTGCACGCGTTGCGCCGTAGTGACGATGTTTTTAGCTATACTCGATCTAGGGGGTAGTCATTGGAACCAAAGTACCAACGAAACACCAACCAATTCCTTGCCAGCCCGATATCGGGACGCAAATGTGTCGAGTTGGTACTGAGAATCTGATATGCATCTCTGAAGATCTGGGACCAAACGCACCGTCTCTCGGTATTCACAGAGGGAATTAGTGATGCGTAAAAGATCATCTTAACCATTGTATAATACACTCATTTTTAACATGATTAAAACTGTGTTTTACAATGTGGTCCATTGCATTTTACCAGGATTCCTTTACCACGTTAAAGGAGGTAGATGACCTGTTTTTTAATGATTCTCCACCACGATAACGATTGTAAACGGTCAATTTACAAGGGTGCATTTTGTAATTTACCGGTCGGATTTCATCATTTACAATATTGTTAATTTGGTGAAAAACGTGGTTATTTATCGTCATTTACAACTACATTTATGGTGGAGACTCTAGGTTACGTTGCGATGAATAGCAGTCATTGCAAGTGAGGAAATGAACCGAGTTGAGGTGAACAAAAGACACAAAGGTCAATTCGAGGAGTGACGAAGAAGAGCCGATCCGGAAAGCATAACGCAGGATTGAAGCCTTGGGCTCATGAGAAAAGTACGGAGTTGAGTGCGAGCAAGAGATGGGCAGCATAAAAGTCAAGCATTGATTCGATTTTGATGAGGTTGATTTGACAGAGCATAACCTAATGAAAGTGGAGGAAGTCTCGGGCTGTGAATAAGACGGTAGAAGATACCATAAGTGAACTTCAACCCTTGCGCACAGCTTCGCGAGGCAGGTTAATCGATTCAGACTTTCTTCTGTTGTGGGGCCATCATAGTGACGACCATGGGGGTTCTTTTTTGGCGGTACTAGTAGAGGTGGTTGTCATCGGGCCTTGGTCATTATCATCGCTTTCGAATTCCAGTCGCGTTTTTTGGTTACTAGCACAGGGGGAAATTAGCAAGGCAGCAGAGGGAGAAGAGGTAGTTGGGAGATAAACTAATGAGCGCACATGGGGCCAAACTATGCCCTAAGCAGATGCACGAGCTTTTCTACCACAGGTGTGACCCTTGGGTAACATAGATTCCTGTTTGCTGTGAGAGGCTTGACGATTTTCTAAAATAAATAAATAAATGCTATTTCTCATTCACCAATGAGTTAAAGACGCGTAAAGACGCGTTGAAACACGTCCAGATGGAAGCCATTCATGGCATCGCTGTCAGTGAGGCAGCATGCCCAGTGTCCATATTCATAAGTACTTGTCACTTCTGAGAAGAGTAGCTAGTTGCATAGCGAAAGGATAGTCAAATTGGGAGGAAATGAGCAGGTTGCAGAACATGTATGGTATGGTGGAGAGGATAAGGCACTGAGTGGAATGGAAACTGCCGAGAACAACTTAGTCTGATTTCAGTCTAAGCGCCACAGTCTCTGCTTACATCTTTAAGTGCCAGCTTCCATACTTGGGGCTCCTCGCGACAAGAAACATTCCTGACAATTCCACCCATCGCAAAGTCGCGATCTAGTTTACTAATGTCTACAACAAGCCGTACCAACATATAATCGAGCTCTTGGTTATGCCTCGCTAGGGAAATCACGCATTGTCGGGGGAGATGACAAAGTTTCCACAATGTGGGCCCAAAAACGACGAATTAAATTTAGAAACTTATCCTTCGTCTGGGTAGGAGTGTTTGAATTTCATGGCTCTCACTATTGAGCTGAAGCAGCTGTGGACTCAAATCCCCGAGCACGTCACAAAACGTCGCTTGTGAGAACATGCGTCACCTCGTTGACCTTGTCTCAGATAGCGGTGCTTACATGGATGCTGCCTTGGCACCGACCTCTTTTACTACAGTCAAATTATCGCTCTCGCTTCGGTCTCTTCAGTATGTGGCCGATTTCCCTATGGTACGTACGCATTCCCGTCGTTGGGCCATCATCGATCGCAGTTACGAGCTCGCAAGGTCAATCGACGACGATGACTAACCGAACTCCGGCCGTCCATACCTCTGACCTTTGTACAATACATCGCAGCTCGAATACCATGAATTGAGTGGTAATTTACGCAGGGAAGAGTCTGGTATTTAGCATCGTGAAACGTATATTGTAATTTACAATGAAAAAAATATCACGAAAACAGTGGTAAATGGTCAAAAACCAGACCAAAAATGGTTTTTTACGGCCATTTACTTCCCACAGTGTATTCTTCCATCTTGCTCTGTGACTCTTCTAGTTGACTTGTCAATCGAGCGATATTGGTGTGGCACTGGCTGATGGCTGGGTTGCGTTCCGCTAGCTTCTCTCGAATCTCGTCTTTTGCAATGACTATCGAGCGAATAATCGAGTTTGTTTCAGACTCCCTTGCGTTAAGGAACGTCAGGTCTGATGCTAGGGAAGCATTATGAGCCTTGAGATCAGAATGCTGCACTCGTAGATCGCTGATTGTCAAATCAGCGTAATCCAACTTTGCAGCAGTGAGCCTGCACAAAGTTCTCCGACAGAGCTTGAATATTCTCAGGGTTGCGTGCATTCAGAGCCTCGAGCTGATTGGTGCGTTCCTTCTGTTCCACGAGTTCTCCAGTTGCAGTTTCCAACGTATCTCGAACCACCTTCAACACCTCAGTTTCTTTGAGGAAGTTATCGATGCAGTTTATTAATGTGTAACATTTGGGTTTTGACGTATTATTATTGTTATCTTGGCTCAGGATTTCAATCTCATCCTGCGCTTCTTTCAAGAGTTGTCGAACGTCACGCAATTTGAAGCGGTAATTTCCATCGGTGTCGAAAAGAGATTTGACGACTTTGAGGTGTCCAGTAATTAGGCCTGATCGTAAGAGAAGCACTGTAATAATACTCACAAGTCTGAGCATCAGATGACTGTCTTCGAAGTTGAGCGATATCGTCCAGCATCTGGGGTAGGTCGACACCCCCAGAGCCTGGCACAGCCGTTCTGAGACTGTCCAGTTCTTGACACATTTCCTTTAACGTAAAGGTATTAGATACGGACAGAGTGCATGGCAAGGTAGCGATCCTCTTGAGACCCGCATCGGGACTCTAATTCTCGGATGGTGGCAGCCTAAGGGATAGCAAGCAACAGGTCAACCATTCTAGAGCACCGGCTCTCAATGGCATGTACCATTCTCTGGTTCTCAGCCACCCATGACTCAGCAGATCGCAACGCATCAACAGTAAATAGTTCTTTTCTCATACATGCCATCTCTTCGTTCTCTGGCTCGCTCTTCTCTGAAGCTATAAAGTAGAAAGCCGCACCACTTGTTAGTATCTCGTCATTCCTATATTCTGGCCCGTGTATTATGACAAGTTGGATCCCAGCATCTGCAGTCCTATCAGAGGGTTCTAGCAGAGACCGTGCCGCCGTATTTTCTGTATTGGGAAAACACTGTTCTTGTACCTATTAACCTAGTGCATGGATGGCACCGAGCTAGGTCTTCCTATCGGGGGTGTGTTCTCCTGTATGTGGAACCTCCTTATCTCATTCCAGTTTGCGAGCTTCCTTCTCGCGTCCCTCCTTCATGTTACACATGTGGCCAAGTGTAATAGTCGAGCCGGTCTCGGTATCACCATTATTCGGTATGGAGTGGATCAGACGCTGTCGTCCCGTAGCTGGTGGCGACACAGATGGAAGTGAAACGTTCAACGAAGCGCAATGGTTGGGAGAGCATGACAGCCTAAGAGCCATGACCATACCAGCGACAACTCAACATCACAGCAAATTCTTTTGCCTGCTTTCCCTTCCAAGTGTTCAAAGGTAAGGATTTAATGAGGATCGAGAAAGGTGAATGGGTGTAAGTCTATAAATGAAGGGGGGAGAAAAACCAGATTGCTGGATCGGAGAAAAAAGTGGGCAGTAATGGAATAGACGAAGCACGAGGGAAGAAGGAAAAAGATGCTGTCGCTCCGTCATGGGTCGACATTCCTGAAATGAAGTGAGTTGCAAGGAATTGCACCGCTGTATGTTCCTTTCCTATCCATCTTGTCAGGGCACATCATCGAATTGTTGTCAACCGGTAAAATGATTAAGCAACCAAAAGCACACCTGAACATTGTACCGTAATAATATTAATATGTTGAACGAGACTTCGAGGATCGCCGGGTGTGGTAGAGTCTCAGCAGGCAGAAGCGAGGCCGGTGCTCCAGGTGAGAATGATGATTCAACCGCGGCAAGGATGCCGGTTTAAGTGTTGCGAAGAGAAGATTGGTGTGGCTGAGCAGCACTCCAATGCTGGGACTTTGGGTGATCCAGGTGGCGCTTAGATTCTGGAGCACAACATGAGCGTGTCTGGTGACGTTGTGCCAACTATAACCCGACACACAACTTTTGCTGCATCCGTACAAATATACAGTAGGTGACGACTGACGAGTACGTTCGGCACATCGCCTAGAGTGGGGGTAGTGACGCGGCCAGCATTTGGGGTAGACATTAGAAACGACAAGGAACGCAAAATTACCGACACAGCATTTAGGCAGGCTCCTTCCTGAGAAGGCGGTTTGTAACTGTTGCACTGTAACAACGTAAGATGCCACCATGAGGTTTTGCCGTATACTGGCATGGAAACGCAATGAACACCGATCCGTGTCACAAATACTGTCAGTCATACAGATGAAAGCCGATAGCATCACACTGCATGAGGAACCGTCAAGTTTACACTCGGGGTTGGGATGTTAAAAGCGGGCGTCAGAAGCTCAGCATGGAAAGTGGAAAGTCGGTAAGGGAATTAGGCGACTGATATTGCACTGTGAGTACTCTGACGGCAAGAGCTGAGGGAGAAAGCCGTGTTTGTGGCAGCGTTTCAACTACTCAAATCCACAACTTCCCACAGCCCATCCCTGCACGGCAGTCCCGTCCCGAATGGAGAACAATCACTGCAAGATTTGTAGAGGTACAGTTTGTTCCAAGGCACGAAACAAGGTGAAGAGCCAACTGGCACCCACGCCCCCTGTCATGGCTGACACTATAGGTTTCAGAACCTCTATCCTCCAGGCTCGGGGATCAATCGCCGCACACTTTACCGGTCTCCTCAGTCACAAGAGCCTGATCCTATGTTCACAGTGTCGTATGAAAGGCAACAGGCCCAAGACCGGGAAACCATACGGGCAATGCTCACCGGGAGGACTTTACCTGTTGCCCAACACGCCCGGAGTCGTGGTGGTGCAGCGCCAACTGGGTCCCGGGCATCGATGACACACTCATACCAGCTGGCCGCTGCCACGGAAGGATGTCCAACTGGCCTGATGGCCGTCCCCGCTTCTCGGGGGCCTGTACCATCCCACCTCCCCTGGTCCCTAGGACGCACCCGCAAGCCCCATCCATCCTCCGCTCGCGCTCAACCGGAAGCACCTACTACACACGCTACTGGGGTATTATCCAACCGAAAAGTACGCCTACTATTCCCCCCCCCCCCTTTTTTTTTTTCCACTTCATTGACTTTCTATTCCAGGGAGCAACAAAGATGACAAGCGATGATATTGGTGTCATCCTGGTCACGAAAACATCGATGCCAGCTATCTCTGAGTCTACAGCACCCGTATACTGGGATATGAACCTCTTTTCATCGCTGCTCAATCCTCAACCATCTCCCAGCCTTTACTCAATCCACTAGAAGTGGCGTCATTTTTCACTGTATTTTTACCATAAAAAGATTTATTAGTTAAAAATGGCCACGTTTTTTAACCAATCAAAAACATGGAAATGAGGTAAATTTCCAGATGCAAATTAATTGTTCTCATTTCACGAGACTAATATAGGCTTTAGCTGAACTTGGGCTCGGCACCACTCTTTGCCGCTCCCCCTCGGCTCTTTTAATTTTACGCGTGGTTCACCTGATAGCAGCCCGAAGCAAAGCTTGGGCGAGCTTGAGTGGCTTGATTGCAAGCATGCAGCGTCAATGGTGACGGCTACCTAAACAGCAGGTGGAAACGAGGAGGATGGGGAAATCTTGACGCAAGTCTGGGAGAAGATATAGTTGATATAGTTGCAACGGTCGTTGCATTTTTCCTAGCAGCGCACATTGTGGGTAAGTTGGGTGAGAAGCGAGCGATGCGGACTTGGAACTCTATGCCAACGATCTGATTGTTGAATCGTTCAGGCCTGCGGAAAAGCAATAGAAGACTAAACACATGCGCAAAGCATAAGAAAAAAAGGAAACGTACACGTACTGTACGAGGACAACCCTAGTTCAAGTGGGGTTGCAAGCCCTAGGTAATGACGCAGAGGGCCTGGGACAAAGATGCGAGAGGGGAGTCTCTTCGTCTGGATTGAATTAAGAAGAATGTATGGACTCCGCACCGAGTGCACGTAACAGCCGAAGCCGCACATGTAACCCGATGGGACGGCGGCGTTGTGGGGCATCATGTTCAATTACATTACAGCGAAGTGCAAAAAAATCTGCCGGTTTCGATTTTGACGGAAGCGATCTGGGGTGGAGTCACCCGCTACCAAAATCAGGATTTGAATGGAAACCCCAATGGCACCGTAGAACTAACGGAATAACCGCTTGCTCTAGTAGATAGCTCAGTCTCAAGCAATATGCGCGAGAACTATTATATTACCTAGTAGATAGCTGTAAGGTAATATACAATAAGTTACAAGATATAAGAAATGAAAGAGAGTAACTAACCTCAGTCTCAAGCAATATGCGCGAGAACTGAGGGAAAAGGAAACTAATTCAAAAGATTGAATATAGTTTGTGGTCTTTGCGGATAAGTCCGAAGTGACCAAAATAAGTAAGAAGCAAAAGGTGTTGTGACCAAATAGTCACGCTACCGCGGGAATGTGGCTGTCCGGGCGAGTTCCTCGCTCGGATGTGGGAATGTGGCTGTACGGAAACTCGTCCGGCCTCCCATAGCACACGGTTCCTCCAACAAGAACTCCCCCTGAATGTGGTGCTTAAGCACCCAAACTCATTGCCCTTGCATCAACAAACTGTTAACTCTGTCTAGCTGACACGGGAAAACATCTTGAGCCCAGCGCAAAAGACATCTTGACCCAACAAGAGATTGCTGAGGCCTCGGGAGTGTCCAAACGTACTGTTCGGAAGTTGCTCGCTGCTCCGTCGTCCAGTATAGGCATGCGGCTGATTTGGTGCCTAGTCCCCCTCACCTGTTCTTCTGCACCATTTCCTTGTGTATTATTAGCTGATTTCTTACCTCGTAAGTGGTCCTTGGGCCTCGTATCCATCAATAATGCTGGCAATGCGATTATGAGGGTCAATACAACACCCAATGTTTCTGGGAATCGTAACTCTGTCCGAGTCCAAACTAGATCCAGAGGCCAGCAGCTGAGCGTGATGAACAGCTCCGAGCAGATTTCAGGAGGCATATGGGGGTGACTTACAATGCCAATCAACTCGTTTTTGTGGATGAGACAGGGTCAACCGTCATGCATCGTCGCATACATATGGCTGGGCCCCTTATGGAGATAGGGCTCACCAACGTCATTTCTTTGTCCATGTGTTAGAATGGGCGGAAACGGACGACTCCGGAGTGGAATCGGAGACTTAGCGTGGAGGGACCTTGGCCTCAGCGACTCAAGCGGAGCGCTGTGCCATTGCTGTTTGTCCATTTGGTCCTTAATTTCACAGTAGGTGAGCAGGAAGTCTCTAGGGGGCATTTCAGGTCGATTTCGGACTGAAACCAGACGAGTATGTACAAGCGCCGATATATATAAAGAAGGGGCAAAAGCACAAGGAGAACAAAGGGTGACCGAATCGGAACGAAGACGTCCGAACGGGAACAAAGGGTAGAGGGAGCGGAGCGGTACTGAAGGTCATAGGGCAAGACCTGTGATACGTCCGAAAGGAGGTAGAGAGGGCGAGGCCCAGAGGGGCAGGAGGATGAGGGGAAGTGGGGGTGATGACTAACTGGCTAGAATAGAAAGAAGCAGTAGTCCAAATAGGGATGAGGGGAAATTGCGAGAAATACATTACAAACGGCGAGAGTGCTGGAGGCGGTCTGCAAAGCTCGGGGGTTGCAGAGCTTATGGAGGTTACGGAGGCGGGGTTGGAAGTCCGAGGAATATTGGCAATGGTGTTTACGTAGTATGAGGTCACCAATGCAATGGACTAAGACCGAGGTGGAGTCAAAGTCCAAGGTAGGGACTATGACGGAGGCTCGGAGTAAGGTATGAACGGTGTCCGAGTGCGAAGTACGGAACAGCGGTGGACGGTCGTAACTTGGCGGAAGGGTGGCGGAGGAGTAACGGAAGGAGGAGAGAGGGGACAGGTAAGGAAGAGGGAGTGGCGGAAAGGAGAGTAGTCAGGTCCGAAGGTGAGTATCGGAACGGACGGGGGAAGCGTAGGGGGATGACGGGAGGGTGGAGGTGTTGTGAGGGGGGAGCGGAGTTGTAGGAAGGGTGGCGAGTGGGGCGATGTTCGGTCCGAGATGAGTATCGGAGTGGACGGGGAAAGGGTCGGAGAGGTAAGAGGAGGGGTGTGTTGCCAAGACCGAAGGTGAGTATCGGAACGGCAGCGGTAGGTTATGACTCCGGAGGTGAAGAGGGTGGAGGTCCGGAAGTCGGGTCGGGGTCGGGTATGCACGGATATGACACCTAGTAACCTATAGAATATTCTCGGATATTCCGGTTCAATCTAATCATGTGACTCGTATTCCAACAAACTCAAGCCTACAGCCTTTTCTAAAATTTCTGTCCGATCAAAGTGAATGGGTATTGACCCCGTTCGTAAAAAAAATCACCCAAAAATGATCAAATTTCTCGTATTTTTATTTTTCAATACAGTAGAGTTAGCGCCGCACAGCCATACCTATTCCCGACCACAATGATTGATCCTACCCTTCACACTGGCCATGATCAGACCGTGTCCTAAGCTACCGTGCACGAAAAGTTCTGGAAATCATCAAGTTTTCCTCACCTGCTTTGATTCTCTCCGAAACAGCGACTGTGTGTCAACTATCATGTTCTCAACAAAGACAAGCGCGCCCACTGGAATGATGACCATTAGCCCCGCACCCGCTCCTGAAAACACCCCAGCAAGCATTCCAACAGTGCTTGCTGATGTATGTGAAGCCTCGTTGCTTCAGGCTGAGCCGGTGGGAGACAGAAACACCATACTCACATCTAGATCCTAGTTGTCAAGTTCGCGACTACACCCACGGTTGCCAACTTTATCAAAGAGGTCCCTTGCTGGTGAGCTGAGAGAATGCAGCAACTCTGCAGTCACCGAGATGGGCAATTTGTGTAGCCTCCTTGGTAGTGAGGGTTGAGGACATGAGGATGATGTGTCAATTCATGTCTGGAGACACGTGTTTGGTACCCATGAGATGGTAATGGTGTATGGAAGCTCGGCTGGGCTGATGTGAGGAGGATCGAGAGCAGGACCACTGTTTCCAATAGAGGCTGGCGACCTGCCTAGATCGCTGTGACCGTCAGTGCCATGGTCATCATTCAATGAGGAATGGGGACTAGCTGTGGGCACTAATTCTACTATATGGAAATATAATTCTATTGTATTGAAACATAAAAATATGAGAAATTTGACCATTTTCAGGTGATTTTTTTTACGAACGGGGTCAATACCCATTCACTTTTGATCGGACAAAAATTTTAGAAAAGGCTGTAATACCTCTGCAATATGGTTAGTATGATCAAGTTGGTCAGGGACTGCACACACCGTTCATCACACATCTCCAAAAGAGCATCAGACTTGTGAATAGAGGCATTGTCCATAACAAGCACAGACTGAGGCTGAGGATACCGGTTCATGTGAATGAGAAGTGAGGCAATAAAGTCATTGAATGATTCTGTGGTGTAAGCGCCCTTCTGTATATCAACATGAATAATCCCATTTGTGGACATAGCGGGAAGAACGGAGTATCTGAAGGAATAAGAACTGAGCATTGAAGTTACTAGGTATGAACCCAATACAGACTTAGTGCCACGGATAAAAAAATCACGTTGCCGAGCCCTCTCCCCACATGGTGCCCAGCCATATGCGCGTGAGGATGTGTTGCGATTCACCCCTGTCTCATCTACAAAGACAAGCTGGTCCGGGTGATAAGTTGTGCCAATGTGTATCCTGAAATTGGCTTGCAGTTGTTCATCACGTTCAGCTGCTGGCTTCTGAAGCTAGTAAATGATCAGTTAGAGCCACAGTTTCGGAAGGTAGTGAGTGGGGGGTCTGAGCACTGCAGGATTAACTCTAATTACTTACAGGTGGTAGTTTGGGCCCAATATGGGTTATTTTGCCCTTCCCCGCTTTCTGCACCAGGGTGTTGGCAAAGTCCAGGTCCTCACCTAACTTGGAGTTGTCCATCCAGTAGACACTAAGGAATGCTCAACTACAACCTCCAGTATACCAGGGAGAGTGGACGCACAAATCACCATGGAAATACTCGCTTTCCTTTTCACTGCCCTCACCGGCATCCTTCCACCATACCCAACCTGAAAGCGCATATCAGTTGCATACCTTTCCCAAAGCTTGTTCATTTTTACCCTGGAATGACTCTTTGCTGCCAGGTGGCACTGAGCTAGTGTGAGGAACTGTACCTGACATTGTGGGTGTCTGTGGCTGTGGCTGTGTCTCTTGATGGTGGCGTAATCACAGGTTAGCAGTCTGCCCGGCTGCGCCCAGTCGCGACCGCTTTTGCATTCACATGCCTTCCCTCACCGATCGTGGTTTTCTCGTGATTTATCATGCAACTTAGCCTGAACCCTCAGTCGTACGCTGAATGTTTTCGGCGCAGATGCGCGAAGTGGACCATTCAGTGGAGGTACATACTGAACTTTCACTGTTGAGGAGAGGTTTCATACTACCTAAGTCATGCCTATAAAGGGGCCCTGACAGCTCCCCTTTCCCCTCTCCCTATCGCCTGGTATTACTCTATTCCCAATTTGCTGCTGCCAATACCGCGATTCTCGACTACATTCCCATCTGCTCCAGCTCCTAGCTTATTTTCTTGTCTCCCTCCTCCTCTCCGATACTCCTCCTTTGCCATCTCTTCTTTTCGAACTTTTTTACATCGTCTGTTACTCTTTTTCTTCATTGTACTAGTAACTTTCGTGCTTTCCCTTTGTATGTACGAGAACGCGGGTCATGCGTCGCGTGCATGTGGCTAATTTCACATGGGCCCTTTGTCGTCGTGCTCGCTGGCCTCGGAGCTTCTTCGAATCTACAAATATTGCTAGATAAAATCATTTTGTCCTGAAAAATCATGCTCACGTTTACGACTCATACTCTTCACCAGCCGTTCTGAATCTCCTTGAACCCCATATGAAGGTCTAATGCCAAAAGCTACTTGAAGTTGCTTGCGAGTTTGATCGAACATGTACCCAGACTGGATTCCTCCAAGTAATGTCCGTGATGTCCCTGTCTGATTGATTTGATGGTGAAGTCCTTCGCTCACGTTGTCATTCCTGTCACCTGCCTCCCAAACTGTGTCTGGAATGAAGTTCTTAGTTTTGCATATGGCAGGAAAGACAAATTGTCGCCGGATTTTATCCTCCAACCAATCTGCACTGTCTTTAGTGGGTGCTCAATGGAGAAGCGACACACCACCTTTTGCTTTTTTCCCTCCTGCCTGAATTGCTTGGAATGCTTCACTGTAGTGTCTATCATGAGGAGACATCAGTGAGAGCATATGACGCTTAGTCAAAGCATCAAATTCCTTGACACCCCTTTGCCAATGGACTGCACAACCTCGAAAAATCCGGGAGAGATGGTCTAATGGGGAAAGGTCCTTAAGGAATCGATGTGGCTCATGAAGATCTCTTCGATTCTCCTGTATCCGGTGTGCGCAGTAGTGAAGATACCGACCAATTCCTATGATGGCATTTAGGGATCAGGCAGTAAGATGCGATGTATAAAGGCAGTAATGACTTTACCTAGTGCTTGGCCTTCATGAAAATCAGCCATCCACATACAAATGCCAAGGGGCTCCTTGATTGAGGGAGAGTCCAAATGGCGCCATTTTAGGAACTGTCCAGTGTCCTCCTGAACTATTTCGTCAATGAGGCGGAAGAGGAGGTAGTGACGATTCAGGAAAGCACGGCACACAATGACACCTATTTCACAGGTTAGCTGATACCCATCAAAAAAGAATCAAGAAGTCTACTTCGTCGAAGTTCACGGTGCCATGCTGCAATTTCAAACTCATACCAATCCTTCACCCACTTGAACGCAATATCACTTTGGATATACATGCAATTGGCCAACAGATCACTCATATAGTGTGTCATACAGACAATAATGCGGTAGTGCTGCTGATCTTTGTCTGTTGGATCTGCCATGGCTTCTTTGATACGGCGGACATACCGATTTTCAGGAGGGAAGTTTGCTTCCTGGCGCTGAAAGTGGACAGCCCCTGGGCAGCAAAAAAATACACATTAGTATAACTAACCCGAGTATTAGGTCATGCCAGATATAACATACCCTCCCAGTCAGTTCCAAAGGGGAATTCTTTTCGTTTCTGTACCTTTGTAAAAATCCGCAAGTGCTCATAGTTTCCCAAAGAAGGGTGGAGATCCATTAAAGTAGGGTGGGGAAGGTCTGGGAAGAATGACTTGAGTGCATATTGGACAGATGGGTAACGGGAAAATGGCCTGGGCGTTGCATCTGCAAGATCTGCACCCATCCCCTTCACCAGGCTGGTGATTAGATCCCGCAATTGTGCAGGAACAGTGCGAGCAAGGGGGATCGGGTGCGTGTGAGAGCCCTGAAATGTGATTGCAACATAGGGACAATCATGAAGATTGTATGGTGTGTAAATTCGCATTATACAGGTACATGTGATTCGCTTGAGCTTTCCACGACGATTATTTGGTAGATGATGGTCAACAGCTGAGTTGAATCAGATTATGTAAATACTGTAGAGACTTGTTAGACTCACTGCAATGGGTCTGGGTCGACGAGGAATTCTCAACGGTCAAGCACATAGCATCAGGTCCCCAGCCCTGGCTATTGCTCATACACTCGATTTCTTTGACAGTCTCTTCATCATCAAACCATAGGGCCTCAAAGTATTCAGCATCGACACCGACAATCACTTCTTCGAAATGACTTCGGTGCAGAGCAGAGAAGTGTTCGCACCTAGGGGATAATGAGACATCGCATCAAGCGTGAATCCTCTAAAAGATGCTCTACCTCACACGAAGGGACCCCTGGTGCAGAGGATCTTCATAATCCATCTCCAGAACCAATCGTCCACTGCAACGTGAGTTACAGTGATCCCATCCCTGCCGACTTTCAAGATTGTTGCATAGTTTCTCATTGAGCGCTGTAACGGGTCTATCGCCTAGACTCGAGACAGAGAGAAGGGGGAGGGTGGTAGTGTGCGCGGGTGTGGTTCGTTGGGCCGGGTCTTGGTCCTGGGGCGCTACCGAGTCTGCA